CCAGTAGTCAGGGTCATCCATCTTGTCCAGAAACTGGTCCAGCTCATCCCGGGTACACAGCGGCTTGTAGATTCGCCGGCCATCCAGGTCATAGCCCACATGGGGGAATTCTGTGTACCACTCCAGGGGCACGTTGCCCACCGTGTTCTGGATGTCCTCCTCATCAGAGCTGCCCTCCACATACTCATCCTTGTCCTGGGTGCTTGCCACCATCTCTGTCCTCGCGGGAGAGGAGCCAGTCTGTAGCTGCTCCTCAGCAGTCACCCCTGGCCCATTGTGGTCCTCATCACAGTTGGCTCCATCCTCACTGCTCTCACTGCCAGAATCTTCCAGGCCAGAGAATACACTTTCCTCACTGTCAGAGAGGCCAGAGTCACTGTCATCACTGTGGCTAGGAGTGGAGCCTGGGAGCGGACAGGGCTCTTCCAACTGCAACGCCAGCTCCTTGTCCGGCTCTGCAGGCCGCTTCCCCTGTCGCGATCACATCGCCAAGGCTCGCCCTGCACCCGGTGTGCCCGCCATGCTCCGCCACAGCTCCGGAGAAACAGCCTATGTTTAGCTTTTGAGGAAACACCAAATTGATTTCTGGAGTGGTTGTACCATTTATAACCCTACTAACAGTGTAAAAGGGTCTTAATCTCTTCACGTCCTCTTCAACATCTGTTACTTTCTATCCTATTAAACTTTGCCACTGCTACTGGGGTGAAATGAGATGCTATCTCATTGTGGATTTGATTTGTATTTCACTTATTGCCAGTTATTTTGAGAATTTCTTCAAGTGTCTGCTGGCTATCTGAATATCTTCCTCCGTGAAAGGTCTTTTCTTGTGATTTACATATTTTATAATTGAGTTATCAGTCTTTCGTTTGTGGGGTCCTTTTGTTGTTGTTGTTATGTGCCATCAAGTCACTTGCAACCCATCGTGAACCTATGTACAGCAGCTCTGAACCCTACTCTGTCCTGAGCCAATCTCACTAATTCTGACACACCAACCCCCATTGCCCCAGTTACTGTATCATTGCATTTCATCCAGGGTCTTCATATCCTGTGATGTCCCTCCGCACTTCCAAGCATGATGTCCTTCTCCAAGGACCAATGTCTCCTGGTCACATGCCCAAATTATGTGTGATGGACTTGAAAATCCTAGTCTCCAAGAAAAAACTTGCTTTCACCCTCTCCAAGATATATCTATTTGTTTTCATGGCAACCCATGATATGTTCAACACTCTTCCCCACCACAATTCAAAGACATTGATTCTTCTTCTGTCATCCTTAGTCATTGTCCAGCTCTCTCACACATAGCAAGTAATTATGAAGACCATGCCATGGATAAGGTGCACCTTAGTTTCTAGACTGACATCATTGCTTCTCAGCACTCTGTAGAGGTCCCTGACAACAGATTTTTTCAATGCAACTTTTCTTTTGATTTCCTGGTTGCTGGTATTAAGAGTGTTGATTGTGGATCTAAGCAAACTATAATTGTGAACAACCTCAATCTCGTCTCCATCTATCATGGTGCTGCCAATTGGCCCAGTGGTGAGAATCCTTGTTTTCTTCATGCTGAGCTTCAATCCATACCAAAGACTACATTCCTTGACTACCGGAAATACAAGCTGGATTTAGAAGAGGTTGTGGAGTCCCTATAATATTCTCTAAACTTTCGTTATAAGACCTTTATCTGAGATGGCATTGCTAGATTTTTTTTTCCGGTTGGTAGTTTTCTTTCCACGCAATTGGAAAATGTTTTGGATGCACACAGGGACTTAATATTTAGAAGGTCACATTCATCAATGTTATCCTTTCCGGGCTGTATATTCTGGCTGTATTTGACAGCTTTTTTATACATATGTTAGGCCTTATAAGTTTGGTTCCATTCTGTCTTTTATAATCTTTATGGCTTTGAGCTTTATCCCTCGGTCTCTGATTCAATTTGAGTTTATTTTGTCTATAATGTGATATATGGATCTTTTTTCAGCTTTCTGCAAGCAGAAAGTCCAGGTTTGCCAGGACTATTTGTTGAAGATGTAGTCATTTCACATTTAATAGGCATTGTTTTCTTGTCAAACACCAGCTGCTTTTGGGTAATTAGGTTCTGAGTTCATGGTTCTTTATCATTACTCTATGTGTCTGACATTGTTCCAGTAACAAGCTGTTTTGGTAATTACAACTGTATAGTAGGTTTTGAGATTAGAGTGCCTTGCTTATTCTGATTTTCTTTGCTTTCCAGATAAACTTGCCAAATGACTTTTATAACTCTTTGAATAATTAATTTTATATCTATAGTGGGATTGCATTAAATATGTAGATTGTTTTTGGTAGGATATTAATTTTCACTATATTTAATCTTCTTATTCATGAAAATTGGAAGCAGGAAAGGCATTCACTTCTTAAACAACATGCCTCTGTAAACTCTACAAACCTTTATAAATGATCAGGCCTTTTGTTCATAAGGTCAGTATGAGTCGTGCTTGACTTGACAGCAATCAACAACAGCATCCATGAAAAGGGAACATTTTTCCATTTATTTAAGATAAATGTTTCATCAAAACAGCTATGAGATATCATCTCACTCCAGTAGGAATAGCAAAATTTAACAGAACAGCAAGCAACAAATGCTGGTGAGGTTGTGGAGAAACTGGAACCCTTATTCACTATTGGTGGGAGTGTAAAATGGTGCAACCACTATGGAAGGCGGTATGGCATTTTCTCAAAAAGTTGCAAATAGAAATACCATTTTACCCAGCAATTCCACTACTAGGAATATACCCCAAAGAAAATAACTGTCACCCAAACAAATATATACACACCCATGTTTATCCTCGCTTTGTTCACAATAGCAAAGAGTTGGAAACAACCTAAGTGTTCATCAACAAATGGATAGAGAAGCTGTGGTATAGTCACACAATGAAATACTATGCTGCATTGAAAAACAATGAACTCATGAAATATTATTCACTATGGGTGACCCTGGAGGACATTATGCTGAGTGAAATATTTCAGTTACAAAAGGACAAATACTGCATACTGCCACAGTTGTAAAACAGGACTGGCATTGGGGGTTGGGAGGAGACTGAGAAAGATGCGATGAATAATGTATACTGCATTGAAACAGATGAGGGAGAAAACTGTTTAAAAGGGATATGTGATTAGGTATTATTGTCATGGTTGGAGTCCAGAATGAAGGCTGTATAGTGGAGTGGACTTAGGGGGAGGGATTTTATAACAATGAAAGAATTTTTCTTTTACTTTACAAAGAGAAGAATAAATTGGGTGGGGGCCAGAGAGAAAAGTGCAACAGTAAGTGAATGGAAATCCAAAGTCTCTGTAAATGTTCATTAAAATTACTACTACTGACACACACCTGCAGCTCTGAACAATGACCCCCATCTTCAGGTAT